GTATGTTGCAATTTGATTGGCTTAAACTCAAAGACATACGCAATATATCTCAACTACTGATAAATTTTCAGGACATTCTAAATTTAAACTTACAATAACATTACATGTTCTTAGAAAAAAAAAATCAGCATGCGTTACCAGGGGTTTTGAAAAGATGTCAGATTGTGGAAATTTTTGCATTAGTCAAAGAAAAATGCACAAAAATTACAAAACATAAATTCCCAATCTTTTTTCATCAAAAATTGTTTTAGAAGGGGTGTAAGAATCCATATATAGACATTAAAGGTATTGCACACGGGTCCTTTATCTAGTGGAACTCTTCAACTCCAGGAGAGAACCCAATAAAGTTCAAACTACATTGTGTATGACCTTAACATGACTATAACTTTCTTGGTTCTCCATATCTTTGAAATTTCAAACATAGGTATGTTTGTCTATTATCGATGAAATATATGTGAAATATCTACAAACAAGGATAATCACGTAAGCTGAAATCTGATTTGTCAATGCTTGTATGAAAATTCTGTAGGATTATTGAACTGCAGATTTGCCTAATTTGATAAAACTTGCAGGAAATGTAGAAGGGGGTAGGGGAACATCTGTAACGGTTCCCGGTGAAATTAACACTAGTTTTATAAATATTGTATTAGAAAACAATGGGCCTGTTTTATAATCTTTTTTATGATATATCATTCTCTTGTATCAAGAGCACATAAAATCACCTCAAGCTTGTTTTAAAATGAATTAATTTTAGGAAGTGATAGTTGGCAAAGAACAGAAAGACAACTATGTAGGAGAGGAAGCTCAGAGTAAAAGGGGCATTCTCACCCTCGAATTCCCAATCGAACACGGTATTATAACCGATTGGGAAGGCGTGGAGAGGATCTGGAATCAAACGTTCTTCAATGAACTCCGTGCAAACCCAGAAGAACACCCTATTCTTTTGACTGAACCCCCACTTAACCCAAAGGCTCACAGAGAAAAAATGACACAGATTATGTTTGAAAAATTCAATGTTCCATGCTTGTACGTGGAAATACAAGCCGTACTCGCTTTGTATGCTTCCGGTCGTACAACTGGAATTGTACTCGACTCTGGAGACGGTGTCACGCACACAGTACCAATTTAAGAGGGCTTCGCCCTTCCACACGCCGTCATGAGAATAGATCTTGTTGGACGGGAACTCACCGAATATCTTATGAGAATTTTCAAAGAACGTGGTTATTACTTTACAACCACAGCTGAAAGAGAAATTGTAAGAGACATTAAAGAGAAATTGTGCTTTGTTGCTAGGGATTTTGAAGAGGATATGCAAACAAGTTCAAAATCCACAACACATAAGAAGAATTATGACCTTCCTGATGGACAGGTTATCACCATTGGTAACGAAAGATTTCGGTGCCCTGAAGTCCTGTTCCAACCCTCTTTCCTTGGACTTGAATCTGTTGGTTTGCATGAAACTATCTTCAATAGCATAATGAAATGTGATGTTGATCTTCGAAAGGACTTTTACGCAAATACGGTTTTATCGGGCGGAACAACCATGTTTCCGGGTTTTGCTGATCGTCTGCACAAGGAAATCGCAGCTTTAGCTCTTTCAACAATGAAGATTAAGATCATCGCTCCACCTGAAAGGGAGTACTCCGTCTGGAAGGGCTGTTCTATCCTGACCTCTTTCTCAACCTTTCAACAAATTTGGATCAGCAAGCAAGAATATGACGAATTCGGTCCTTCTATCGTGCACAGAAAGTGCTTTTAAGTTATCTTAGTCTCCAACAATTTTGCTAAATCAGACTTTAAAGAACTATTCTCTTTCTAAATTACCAGTACTTCATTCTTGTCAAAACAGTACATCAGATTTTTGAAAATCAAATTTATCTATTCTTGGAAGTTTTTGGCATGCTTACAATTTAATTTATGTATGAATTTTTTTAAGCATATGCTTTATACACCAATAAGATATTTAATCCCTTCACTTACCTTACCATGCTTTTCAAAACACTTTTTAAAACTAAAATAAGTTTTTTGGTTATTCATGTTATGTAAATAAATTGTAAACATACTGAACTTTTATACTGCTCTGTACATGATATATTTGCTCCTTGATACGCCTTAGCTTACGTTAGAGCTTTGATTTTTTTCCCATTAGTCTATGTAATGTTTGCTGTTTATTATGAAATGATTGTTATATTAGAATCAGGCAAACATTAGAACATGCTTCAAATTTCGTTGAAGATCGCCTTGAATAATAATTGACATAATCGTTATTATCATTCTATGCAAACAAAATATTTGCTGTAATTTACGATATCATCATTCAAAGTTACTTTGCATAAATGTAATATTTTAGTTGTTTGTAACAATGGCTTTGCTTTGGAAAAACTTATATTTTGTGTTTTTTATTCAATACCAAGCTTTGTCGAATATCAAATTAATGCTCAAATAATACGATTAATATCTTCATCGAATATGCGGTGTTTTATATCATTTGCTTCCATGTATACTGTTCTTCCATGAAATACCTGTTTTTATGTTCATCCAGAGCAGCGCCTGAGGTGATAATTAATATCAAGAAAACTCTCCTCAGAGTAAAGCTGTCAAGAAAGAGAGAATTTCCGTTGGTGTTAAATATTCTGATTAAAATTTTGTGTTTTCGGGGTTTATTTTCGATTTCTATGCTGATCTTACCATTGCGAAATCCCGAATTTCTTTCCTACTTTTAGCTTAGATGTTTGTGTCAGTCCCATTGTTTTGTTTTTCATACTACCAAGATACGACATTTTAGTTGAATATTTAAAGTGATTTAGTTCATTAATAGACAATCATTTAAAAGGAGCTAAGACAAACATTTAAAGTAAAAACTCGAATATTTTGTGTATAATATCATATCATGCTTCAGTTCCATTGTTTTGTTCCTTATGATAACAAGATAAGAATATTAATTATCCTCTTTCATGTTATCTTTTTGGAAAGTTAAATTATGTTTATTGTTGCATATTACTCTCCTTGATTTAACCATCGCTTTTATTCAAAAACGTTACTTTGAATTCACACGACCAAAGATAAACATGCATCCTAGTGCCACACGAACTTTCTTAGAAATCCCCTTACTCAAGGTGCCGCAAAAAAAAGTTTCTGGCAATTTTTCAAGAGTTAACGGTATTCACCTGGTTATGAAATTTTTTTGGTAAATTTTAATTGCATTTTGCACCGATTAATCTCTAAACATTTAGAACTTGCATGTTTTCTTGTATTATTTTTTTCAACACGTTGCTGCAAAGTGCAGCCAACATATATAAAACACGTATTCTAGAGATTTATTTGCGTAAAAAAATGATGATTACTGGAATTAATAAAATATAATAGTATGTAGCATTTTATCTGTATGCATACTCCACCCAAAAATAAGGTACTGCGTGTGTTCAGAGACTGCGAACAAACCTCTTGCCCAAGCTTTCAAGATAGGACTCGACAGTATTGTTCACGAAAGAAGGTATTTATAATGTTAATTAACATCTAATCTGAAAATAGGGGACTGTTTTTTTTTTTCAAGAGAATGCATACATTTCTTTTTCTTAAAGTTAAAAAACCCTCCAAGTTGTATTTAATAAGGACAAATGATACCAAAAAAAATGCTTGGATTGGTATATATTTTCTTACCCAATACCAAAGAAAATGATTCAAATAATTAATTTCTAGAATTTAAAGAAATTTCAAACCTTTTGTGATATTCAAAATTCTACCATTCTGAAACCATTCTTATTATTCTATAAAATATTTTCACTGCAAATTCGATTTTTGTCCAATTTTGAAAAAAAAATAAAAACAATGCAGTGAAAACTTCATTTTATTATTTGAATTATGACCCAAGCCGATATAAAAAAAATGTCAAAAGTTTGTTTGTATCATCTGTCCTAAAAAGCAAAGACAAATGCTGCAAATTCATATTTGAAATAGATAGCATTACATACATGTTTTCTTTTGATATTTTTAACACGGTCTTTACAATTAAATGAACTAATATCGCTACGCAGTCAGTTACATATTTCTACAGTTTGTTTTCCCATACATTGCCTTTCCATTCCACATTTTCATTTCCATAACTAGTTACTTTCATATTTAGAACACGTTTTAGGTTAAAAATTTCTTTTCAATATGCCATGAAATGTCTCTAATATCAATATCAGTTTGAAGACTAATACTACAAGCAACAGTTACAAAGTCCATCCCATCTTATAAGGAAAGTCGTTGTTAAAGAGATGACAGTGGTTTAAATGTTTGAATATTCAAATAATATTTAAGGCTAACAAATAATAAAATAAATCTTTCTAACATTTCAACGATTTATATTTTTCATACAGTTTAGTAAATGTACAAACAAAATATTCATTTTTGCTGATATCAATTCATTTTGGATATAATGTTTCAAATGGTATAGTATCACCCTACACTATATTTATATTAAATATATAAAGGGTTAACCGAGGTAGTGGTAGCATTTTTGTACTGGAGATAAAACTAAATACCAATAGTAACAAATAGCAGGTAAGAAAACTAATTCATAATTTAAATAAATGCGAATTTTATTCTTCTTTTTCTGGTTTTTTGTTGTGAATGTTCAACAGATATAAAAAAAAATGCTAAATCCAGTAACACATTCTCTTTCATTGTAATAAAAATACCATGGACTGGAAAAGTTTATGTGAATAAGATACATATTCCTGTTCTGAACTTTCTGTCAACTATGATCAAGAAACGGTGTCCTCAGAATGTTTTGATATTTTATAGAAATTCAATATGCTTCATAAAGTTATAAAATTTTTATTTCTTCTGGAGTCCTTTGAAGTATAGAACGTTTTATGACAAAATATGACTACTTATACGAGCCTGATCTCGGATAAGTGAGTTTATTTCAGTAACCCGATGTCCTTCATCTCTGGAGAAGAGTTACGAGCTTCCAGAGTTTCATTCGTAAGGAGCAATTCCGATGCACAGAAGCCATGTTTTAACCCTCTTCCCTTGGAATGGATTCAGATGGTATCCATGAAATGGTATACAACAGTATCATGAAATGTGATAATGATATCCTTAAGGATGTGTACGCCAACAGAGTATTAGCTGGCGGTTCAACAATGTACTCAAGTATAAACGACCGTATGCAGAAAGAAATTAAAGATTTAGCTCCTTCAACAATGAAGATTAAGATTATTGCTCCATCTGCGAGGAAATACTCCGTCTGGATAGGTGGTTCTATCCTTGCCTCTCTTTCCACCCCCAAAAAGATGTGGAGCAGCAGGAAAGAATATGACGAATCGTGTCCCTCCATTGTGTATAGAAAGTGCTTCTAGGAGCTCTTCACAGATGATGGTCAGTTCAGAATATATTCATTCCATATAACTATAAGTGTATAAACTCAGCTGTTCCAGTGATATCCAGAGACGGGAAAAAAGAAAAACATGTTATTAGTATTTTTAGTAGTCTTTTAGAAATACATGTGATTTCCCCTTACTTTTGAAAGATTGTATCTATGACGCCAAAATATAGACATTTAACGTTCCGCTAAACTTGACATCACAGTCACTGTTACTCTTATATTGTTGTAAGCTTCTAATGATTGAAAATGAACGCGCTAAAGCCTAACTGAAGATTTTTGTGCTTTCTTTTCATATTTTTGATATAATAGAGTACTCGTAATAATTTAAAAGTTCATTCCTTGGTGTTTATTATTTGATTTGGTGTGGTGTTTTGTCTCATTGCGACGGGAAAGTGTCATCCCGCGTCAGTCTTCAGTCATTTAGAGACGAATTCGACAATGTCGCTACAACATGCTTTACTGTTAGAATTATAAAAGACCACTGAAAAACGACTTTTACAACAAAAACAACCATGAAATTTATCATCCTTATTAGCAATCATGTGGAGATGTGTGCTTTCATTTGGAATAGGACTATATTTCCTTTTTTTCAATTTATCTTCTTGGGAACAAAGGTAGCACAATTCAATGTAAAAGCAAAAGGAAAGGCTCAGAAACTAACCCAGGGGGATATGGTCATGTTTGATGATGTTAAATAATCAGAAGATTACAAGGCTTTTTGTACCTCCTTTAAGAAATATCAGCCTGATGGTGCAGTAAAAAATAACCAAACACAGATATGCGGTTTTGTCGATTATTTCATTTAATTGACAATTAAAGTAAAATGTATAACAAATCATTAATGGGGATCACCTAATATTAAACAATACAGGATAAAATATGTATATAAGAGAAACGTACAATCGTGGCCCCCCTGAGACTGACTAAAAATTTACATGCAGTGATAATATCAGAGTGCATATAAATATGCATAAAATATAACATAAATTAAGGAAATTCTTTGAGTACATATAATTATGCATAAAATATAACATAAATAGAGTAAATCCTGTGAGGCGTCCAAACAAATGTGCTAATCTTAGAAACGTATAACAATTTAAATAATACAGCCCCCCCCCCCCCCAAAAAAAAGGTGGGTGTCGGTTTTTTTTCACGGCACTAACAAGTTAACATAAATGACGCATCAAAACAAAGATTTTGATTTGTTGTTTTTGTTTTTGTTTTTTTTTAAAACGTCACTATCTGAATGTGTAAAATTTAATAGATTTCATATAGCGGCATAAAAAAAAACTTGGATTGAAAGAACTGTTAATGTTTCACCTGTTTTCCTCGTTTTTTGTATAATTTCTTTTCTTAATGTTAGATTAATAGAGATTTGTATAAATTTTTTTTTCTTTGACAAAGGGTTTGGTTGTGAATAATTAAATAAACGCAGGCAGAATAGAATTTCCCGAGGAAAATTTAACGTATTCAGGATGACGTTTACATGTACTTAGGTTTCAGAAAACGGAGAGGAAATTTTGTAAAGTATTATACGTTTATTTAAAAAAAATTTCTAAACGGATAAAATAACTTTTTGGCTTAATATCGATTAAAATTAAATATTTTATTATTTGAAGAAAATATATGGCATCAAAAATCAATGTATGGTAATGCAGAGGAAATTCGGACTAAATTTTCAAATTTTTCATTTTTGTTGAAATTTTTTTTTCTTGCAATATTAATCACAATGTAAAGTTAACAATGTAGTTTTAGACATCATTTTACAAATATTTTATGAGTTAAAGCCAATGAATTATTTCAAATAATTGATTGCTATGAAATAAAGAAATTCAAAAATATGTACAAAAACCATTCCAGGCAACATATTTTAATAATATGATAATTGAACCCATATAATATTAATATCATGAGAATTAGGGCAACAAAAGTAACCTGAGGCTATAAATAATTCAGAGTTCTAATCAGTCATATTTTGTAATATTCATTTAAAAATGGAAAAAAAATATAAATATGACAGAGGAAATTCGGACTGAAAAATTATATAATTTATGGCCAAATCTCTAACGTTTCTTTATATGAAGCAACGCTGTTCCATTGCTATAATATTTCATTATTTAAAAAGTTTTGTTACTTGTAATATTTTCGGAGTGAAGAAAAATTGGTCATAGTATGAAAAATTGAGGTATTTCACGCGAAATACTCGGGGGCCACTAGCATGAAAGGTAGGTCATTGACCAAGTAATTTGAAATTGAAATTTTACACACGAAGTAAAGGTGTACAATGTGCAATATGTGGGCTTTTGTTCTTGTCAGTGGGATTTTAAGTCATCTGAGTAAAGGCATACTCTAAAGCAGTGGTATCCCTTACGTGAGAAGAGAATGTACTGTGTACGTTTATATATTTCATCTTAATGAAAGGTTATTTCAGTAAGAATATGAAACTAGAAAATATAACAAATATAACAAAATATTATTCGAGAAGATTCCTTTCGTAATTTTCATTGGCTGAAAAAACGTCACGTGATACACCTCCTTTTGTGATGTCGACGCGAAAGCGCGTCCGCGGAAAATGATATCGCACGACACACCGTTTGGATTCACCAAAGTTACGTAGAATGTGACGTCATAATATAAGAAGTGTGTTTTAACCATTGTAACGTAATGACAGCCGAGTCTGTTCATTTAGGACTTTATTAGTGCATTCACTTTGAGTGATTATATATAACTATTGTGACTTCAGTGACCGGTCAATATGTGGTTATAAGGACTCATGGCCAAGTTGATTTTGACCTCAGACACATACATTGATAGCGACTGAGCCTGCGATGTCGCCATCACTTTTTGTTCTTCGGTCAATATCAATTGTCATGAGTCCTTATAGCCACATATCGACCTACACTGAAGTCCATAATTGTATATAATCATTTTTCTTCTTTCGTTGCGTGTATCATGTAAGTATGGTTGGAAGAATTTTATACATTGTAAGTTAAATTGACGTTTTGGTCAATTTTATTTTAAAAACTATTTAAAAAATTTTTATACTAGATCTACATGATCTATTCGAAATGTTTGTCTTGCCAAAAAAGGACGGATAATCCGTCGACAATTCAGTAGTACGAGAAACGTCACTTAGCACTTTACTTAGTGATAGGTTGTATTTGCTGACAAGATCGTTGAATTAAAAGCGAGCAAAAAAATCGAAATTAGAACGAATAATTGATTCATCGTATATTGTAAAATTACCTCTCGACAATTTTTCAATCATATGGAGTAAGACCACGACTTGTCGGTGGAGAGCTGCAAATCTTGCTCTATACTCGGCACTCAGTGCTACTAGAGAAACACCGACATCTTACGAACGAACGTAACTCGCCCTAACTTCCCGTATCTTGATAGTTTTCTCGGGACCAGTGATTGTACCCATATAAAGTTTAAAATCGGAAGAAATAAGTTTATGTGTAAAATAGAACGGAGAGTGTTTTAACCACTTTGTAATTGAAAACTGCTCAAGTCAAATTTATTGTAATCACTTTCAATGTTTTAAAAAAGCGAACAAATAGAAGAAAATACACCATACTACTTTAGACGGATTAGGAAACACGTTTGTCATGCGTCAGTGATTAAACGTATACAAACTACTCGTAGTGTGCGCCTTGTTCATATGGAGAAAGGTTACTTTTTACAGGTTGAAGAAAAAAATCCGTGCAATCAAGTAAATATGTAGTGCGCTTTATAAAGTGTCTTGTATTGAGATCTAAAGAGAGAGAGAGAGAGAGAGAGAGAGAGAGAGAGATTCTTTTATAAATTTATTAAAATATCACTTCAAAGAAATAAACGAGCATTCATGGTACACAGTATCTTCTTAGATGATGTATTAAATGGCGATCATAACTTAATCATCTTGAGCTGCTTTTATTTGAAATATGTAACAGGCATGAAGCAAGCAATATCAGTTGGGGGGGGGGGGGGGGCACAACCAAACTTTTTTAGTTTAGAGTCACTACAAAACAATTCTTTGGGAAGCCAAAATGAAAGATTTTTTTTATTGAGGTGGCACAAGTATACAGTAGCTAAGTTTTCTAAGATATTACATTAATCGTCAAAATATAAAATTAGAAGATACACTTTATACTTTTGACCGCACAGAGTTATTTTGACCGAAGGTCCAATATACACTTAAAAACGTTTAACTATAACCGAAATTATAACTCGCCTCATTTGTAAGGAAAAATATATATTTACCGTCCTGTTGTAACAGAAAAAAAATTATTCTAGAATACCGACAAAAAGATACCGGACTTTTAAAAGTGTGAATAATATGAAAACGTAGTTGTCACTTAGTTGTCATGGCATCCTTCAAAAGTATGTGCACACATATGCTTATCACAAGTGCTTGTAGACCAAACAACTTCCCCACCCCAATCCCCAATATACATACCGTGTCGCAAGATATTCATATTTGTCTTATTTCATAAATTAACCGTCTAGTACATATTTAAATTGTACAATGTATTTCATATGAAAAATCCAAAAAGTACATAGAATTCACTTTTTATCCAAAAAAAAAATCGTGCCCGTAGTATCTTAAATCACCTCTGACTTTTTAACTGCAGGTATCAATTTTGTATGTTGTAAATTGTAAAATTTATGTTATAAATGAAAGAAAGCAAAAAAAATGTCTTTGGACCCGGATTTATATATATTCCAGGGGTTGGGTGAGGGGGTGGGGTGGGCATCGGTCCTATGATGGTTTGCTAATATTGAACTAGCTTGCTCTTATATATATATCTTAAATTATGTCAAAAACACAATTCACTAAACTTCCATTTTTGTGCCGACCTGTCCCCCTCCCCGAAAGTTGGGGATATTAATTTCGGTCTGCTCGTTCGTCTTATAATTCTGTTAAGTATGTCTGTTACACTTTTGTTTTGAGATGTTTTGGGTCTGGGACGTTAAACGGGGGGGGGGTCC